CAAAAACAACTTGAAATAAAAAAAATATTAGCCGAAACTAAACTTCAATGGACAATATTGTTTATATGTATTATTTTTATTGAAATTAGTATACTTCGATTGCTAATTAAGACCAAGATGTGTGATAAAAATAAGAAAATAAAAGTTTATTGTTATTAAAAGTCCGATAGTACATATTAACCTCGATCTGTCATAATGCGCCTTTCACAATCGTTGCCTCCCTACTTTCAATAATGCAAAATGTCATAGATACAAAATAAACTTAATGAATATAAAACGAAAATGCATGGGCCAATGTTACAGCTTTTTTAGAAACTTTTATTTCACTTGCAATGTGTGTAATGTAAATCTCACAAATCCGTCTCGGTCCATCTCTGACGTCTTGGATTTGATTCTTTTTAAACTATTCTAAGTCATAATTTTGCAACATTAATATATAAACCACAGAAATCACCCTTCATATATAAAATTTATATCTGTGATATATCTGATGTAAACATATGTATATCGATTTTTAATATTAATTTAGGAATGACAGTTTAATTGCTTTTAATTAGGCTTTTTTATTTTTATACCTGGTATTTTGAGCTAAGTTTTTTTAGAAAAATAGTAGCAAAATGTTTAAACAGTAAGAAGTTTTTATTAGTGAATTTTTTTTCCAATAACCTACAACTTTATTAACATAAAAAATTACATGTTGTAGTAAAAGTACATTTACTACTACACGTATTATTCATCATAAATGAATTTGTTAATAAGGAATCACCATTAACGATCACTTCGTAATATTCTCAGACTCTGTTTGATTAGAAAGGGAACTCGTCTTCAGTAATTGTAACATATAACAGTATATAATTACCTAGAAAGTATTTAACATGTGATACTAAGATAGACCAATTGTATCAGATAGAAACTTTGAGGATCCCTTTTAAATTTCCCTCTCTGCATTATTATAAAATAAAAAAAGGATGTTTTATAGAAGTCTTAGTTATTAGCTTGTAAAATATTATGGCGTTATTGACACAACGTCAAATTTGCTGAAGTGATTAAAAGAAAAAAAATAAGATATATTTACTACCTCCAACCACTCCCCCCATTAATATAAACTTAACTGAACCTACTGAATTATTACCTATATTGAAGCAATGAAATTTATTTGCTCATTAAGTAGAAAGACACTAAGTTATTATTTTTAATTTGGAACTAACCTCTTTTTGTATAACTAACCTTTTTTTTGTTACAAAAAAAAGTTAGTATTTCATGCACTGTCCCTGTCACTTGTCTAGAGTGTGGGACTCTCCATCCACACGGGCCTGTCCGAAGGTCCCCTTAAAACGCGAATAGAATACCTACTCAACCTCCTCCAATGCGCCCACACTTTTGGGGGAAAGGCGTGTGATCTAGTAAGGACTGCTCTACACCAGTACTGTTTAATGTTAATTTTTAAGTATGTTTATTTATTGTCACTTAAAGTATACCAAAATATCAGTAATTCTAATACCACTATCATATAACACTAACGGAAAAACAACCACAACGGCCAAAATATTATATCGCTTAATTTATTTAAGAAATACTTAGTTATCAGCAATATTTGTTGCTTACAATGCATAACACCTTGACTGTCTTTTTAACTGAATTAATGAACTGATTTGAGAACGGTATTTTATAAACTAAAATAAATCAACTCACCTTTAAAACATGATGTAATTAAATTTTGGTATTGTTTATATTTTGCTGCTTAGTTTTCAACGTGCAGCTAGTCATACTTCATTTGTCATAGGTTTTACTAAACTATTTAGGTATTGATGCTATCGAGACCCGTACGAGTCACGATTAATAAGAACTAGTGTTATAAACAGAATAACGTTTGCAACATTGAATTAAAAATCATTTCAATTTGGTGCAAATAAGTTACTTCTGGACAAAGACGACGTCTTTTAAGTAATATGAGTCAGTGAAACGACAGTGAAAGGTTCGATTTAAAGCGAAATCATGCGGAGCCACAGACGCTCGTAAAATAAATCTGGTTGTCTCTATAAATGGAGTGCTTTCAATCAATATCAAAGTATGTAGTTCTGTTAAGAATTGGTCTATTGAATATTCGCTGTTCAATTAATTTTTAACCACAATTAGTTAAAGAAATCTAGAAAGGTCTTCTCTCCAATTTTAAATTGGAGCAAATATTTCCGCACATAGCAGTGAATCGAAGTAAACCTAAACACATTATTCTTCCAACTAACATTTGCTACTATTTAACTACCCATACTCTTTGTTTATTATCATTTCGCACATAAACAGCACTTAATCATTGTAAATTACATACATACACTACTAAGCGGATTTTATACTTCATATACTGGGTGATGTAGGAATATTGTTTCTGCTTACATGGCACCGGTTGTTCAATGATTGAATATATATTTTTTTTGTTTTTTACTTTATGCTCTCTAGAGGGCGCCGTTGCCAATTTAATGTAACGCCACATAGCCTATAGTCGCGGACAACTAAGACGCTTCGTTTCTAATGATACCTCATTTGTCCAGTTACGATGAGTAATTTCGAAGTTATAAGGGAACAGATGAACATTCATATTCAACCTCATATTACTTTCACACTTAAGCTAATAGTTTTAAAATTAGTATACATAACAAGTAATGAAATTTTAAGTACTGCCTGTATCTAAACACACGTAAATCATAGATCATGCTTTGAAAGCTATGTACTTAGAGTCAAGCGCACGACAGGTAACTTTAAACATTTACCTATATATAATAAAGTTCAAATTTTACTTGATCTTTTGTAGTAACATAATGTGTGCTATGGTCTATACAACGGAAGTTACAAATCTGAGACAACATCTCATGGGATAGCAAATATCCTTACCGCAGACTTTATTTACTTAACTATTGTTTGCCAGTCGCAGTATTTACACATGGAATACTATCCGTCACAAACAAATGGCATGTAGCTTTCAAACGAAAGCTGTTTAAGTGGTATTACAGAACAAATAATATCAAAACCTAGAAACAGGGCCATTATAATTGTTAATATGTTTTCTTTGCACTAAAACTGAAAAATTAAGAGTAGCAGCTTAAAACCAGACAGTTTTGAAAAACATTTGGTGTAGCTTTTTACTTTGGTAGGTTCTTGAGAATTATATTAACAAAGGACAATATACTTTTTAAAATTACAGATTCTGAGAATCTTAATTAAATCGTTTTGTAGATAAAAATACGAATGATATTAATTAAATCAAACTGATCCCTCCTTTGATGAGGTCCTCATTATTACTAAGAAATAAACAATTTAAATAATTGTTGTCAATCTTGAAAATAAGAGGGGTAATCATTCTTATGGGCCCATAGAATTTGGAATCCTACACAACTAAATAATTACTTTGATATTTAAAGCAGCACAGCCTTTCCGAACTTTGACATCGTGACTTTCACTTGCTTTAAAGCATTATTCAATTTTTATCGATGATAAAATATCGACATGTTATGACTTAACAAACGAGTAGGATAAAAACCATTAGTCAGTCTGTGGTATACCTACTTTCTCTTAAAATGATGTAGTATCATCGTATTGGATCAATGTATTTGTCAAAAATTGATTTGAAACTATGTATAAGATATTTAAAAAACCTAAACATTTGCCTGAAGTGCATCTGTGAAGGCATTTCGATGATTAATATTGATTTATGATTAATATTATTTATAATATAAAATAAAATAGATTAATTATGATTAATATTTAATCAGTTTCATTACAAAAATCTAAAACTAGGACAGGACACGCATTCACTCATTATATACACAACATTTGTGCACCAATCGTAAACAAATCTCGCAACCATAATCAATTATTATTATTCACGTAAAAACACGTGTAATAACGGGCACAGACATTTTACAAATAACCGGGTGTGGAAATTGTCAATTCATTGTTAGTTTGAACACATTTTATTTTAGTTTTTATTTTACGTCATTACATTTTTATGTAAGTCAAAAACATTCACGATACACGTCAATGATAAAGTTAAAATATAAATTCATGAAAGGTATCGGACTTATCGAGTACTTATCGCTTCGACATCACATTACCGTCGTACCGGACACAGTTATAAATAAAAGTTGTACACAACTGTGATAGAATCTGTTAACCCGGCATGCTATGTGCTCTAATTAAGATATTGTGTAAAACAACATTTTATAAAATACTGATGATTATCTTAAATTATATAATATAAAAGGTATTTTGCCGCCATTATTTGCACATGTGTATAATTTAGCCAGTGTCACTCGTGTTTGATTTACTTAGCTTTCCGTAGGTTAAAGAATTTTTAAAAATCAGTCCGATGCTTTCGGAACGTAGACGAAATTATGACTTTTGTAGAATATTTTATTTATATATAAATACTTTTTGGTACAGATTCTGATGATAAATAAGTAGTTTATTTGAATATACATTGTAACTTGTTGTATCGTGTTCTCAAGTTACTAGGCCTTTATAGTTAGATTATTCTAACTACCTGTATCCCAATCACTTACACTATTATTATTTTGCGTACACTGATTACCCGAAGATTAATATTATAAAGTGACAGGAGTATCAGTTTCATGGTCGCAAACAATTCCGCAAATACTTTAAAGGATTGTTATTTTATAGGTTTTTATTTTGTGTAATGCATAAATAAATATGTAGCCACAACTGCATTAGTTGGACCCTGACAGGGCTCATGTTTATGTAAACAATTACGTAATTATGAAATAAAGACACAAAATCTTGCTGATTCTTCGTTATTATACGTTTTAATTTATAGTTTAAGGGCTAGTTCAATTACGCTTTATAAGACTGAAAATGGACACACTTTGTCCATTTTCAGTCTCACAAAGACAAAGGAGGTTATAACTTTAATACTTTCTTTGTCGGTAAGTACATGATTTATAAAGCAGTGTGATCTTCGCGGTATCAGCTAATTTATAATGCATCCTCACCTTGGTCGAACATCACGATCTCGACAGTTGAGTGTAGCTGCACATTTTTCACGTGCACGCACTCATCGCCTTGCCCCTCCTCCTGGGTGCAGAGCGAGTTGGGATTGACGTCACCACCCTGAGTGAGCAATGGCGAAGCTGGGTAAGTGAAACGATGGCCATTCGTTTGACCCCAACTCTCTGTAAAAAAATGTCTTTTTAAGTACTGTGGCCACATACTTTTCAAAAATTTCAATATATCAAAAAAATCTGATTATTAAAGATATTTCTAAAAAAAGATATCGATCGTTCCATTTTCTGAAAAAGGTGTCAGTCTTTTAAAAATCGATACAGTCAATTATCGAAATCGCAAAAAGGGATGGAAAGTGCTGTGACGTTTATTGGGAATAGAGTTACGATACGTAATAATGTATTTTGCAGTTAAAATGTAAGCTGACTCACAAACTTATCAGATTAATAAATCGATAAACACAGAGGCTATTCTCTTGTCGAATTTAGAACATATCAGAATAAAACGGTAGATACCAATATTAAAACCTATTCTCGATAGTTCAAGCAAAGACAGGGACCGATCTAGGTTTTTAGCCACTCCGGGCAAAACTAATATTCGCCGTTCTTTATGCTTACCCATGCTAACACCAATCACTATATAAATCACTTATTGTTTTACCGCGGCTGATGTCGCGTAAATTATAGCTTCCACGTATGATTCTTAGATTCAGTCCAGAAGCTTCGGAGCCTATTCAATGCAAGTAATCAAATAATCAAACCTTTATAATATTGATATAGATGAGCGTGCCATTGTAAACCTGCCTTTAAATACAACATTCAAAAATATATTTTTCTGTCTGTTACGCATGGTCATTCTTAAAAGGCAATCGCCCTCTATTCAATTATGCGCTCTGGCCAATTGCTCATCTTGTCTCAAGAGGCAAGAATCGTGAATAGTAGGTAGTAAAAAATATAAATAAAGTTTAATATTCGACAAGTGATAATTTTTTTGTAACAAAATATTTCTGCCGATTCCTGAAACTAAATTACTTTGCAAATCTATTAACATTATTCATTAGAGGGTGAACTTATGAACTTCATTCTAAAAAAATAATTTTATTTATAAGGTTTATTCTATTTTCACAATTTGTATTACAATAACTTCATATATAAAACAATTTATTTCATTCTATTTTGTATTTACTTTATAACGTAACTGTTAACTCCATAGATAAAGAAGGCAATAAATATTATTGTATTTAAGAAATAAAGAAACAACACTTTTTTAACATAACATACAAACAAACGTAATAAGGTAGCATGAATAATACATACAAACAACTTTCATCAGTAAGAATTCATTAAAACACTACTAAATTAAAGATCCAAACAACCTATACATTTAACACGTTATTGGCAGAGGTATAACTGACAATATTTATTCAAAAGAGTAAAATTTTTGGAAATAAATTGTTTTTGAAAATATTGCAGTTATTTAATTTTACCATTAACAATTGGAGCGCACTCAAAAGTTTTGAATCATCTAAATTTTTATTCACGATACCTTGTTTTCAACTTTAATTTATCAACGACACATAATTAAGATCGATATGATGTAAGGATATAAAGAAAGTAATTTCAGTATTGCATTTTAAATAAAGTATAGCATAATTGGTTACTTTCTTATATTTCTGTACAGTAATTATAGTGCGTATGATTTCATTCCGACAACGCGCAATGTATTTTGTATGTGCACGCGCCAACGCGCAATGAAACCCCGATTTTGACTTATCATATTTTTATAAAACTATTCGACACTTTATATCGTTTGAAACAATAGTAACCGCGGGATTTTTTGTGCTTTTCATGACCCGAAATAAGGTAACAAAGACCTTTTTTTTTAATTAAACTAACAATCGCATCGATATCAGAGTTTCAGGGTATTGCTTACAATTATATAAATTATCGAAAAATCAATAATAATATAATTAGGCACAATCGGGGTTACTAACAAACTATTCAGTGTTTGCTTCGCCCGCATGATTTACATGATGACAGTACTTTATTCCTGAAATAATAGGGATGTTGAATAATTTTGGTGTTCCAGTAATTCGGGAAGATTATTTAAGATTATTAAATACGTATTTTTAAAATTTTATACTTTATCAACTTATATAGTGATAAAATGACTAGAAATGTCGCATGACGTTTGTATATTTTCCATATAGTTGTGACTCAGCGAGCGCCCACTCATTGATTTAAAGCCTATTATCTAAGCCATTTATTATTTAAAAGAAAAAATAGGACTCTAATATAATTCTATTACCTAACTGACATTTGACCATTTTTGAAATTTATACAAAATCTGTTCTGTAATTGTTACGTGAAAGAGTAAAAAACATCTTTCACATTTATAATATTAGTAGGATAAAGTACTGTATCAAGGAACGCAATTATAACTCATTTCGGGAGGCTCTGGGGGCTGTCCTAATTACTTTACGATAATACAAGCTAACTTTCTCAGTTTATAGACCCCTAGGAAATCAAGTACAAGTTCAAAGACACCATTGATATTATTTGAGGTTGGTTCGTACCAACACTCACGCACGTTTTTTTTCTTTTTTATTTGTATTATTATATGCCAATTTTTATGATATTTTCATAGATATTATTAGAGGTCATGGTATGGTCTTCATGGGCTGCATAATACCCGCGCAGATTTAGGCATACTGCGTCATCAGAGTATGCTGCCCCTCGCCAGTATATCGCCATTATAAAGTTATCAGCAGTAATTGAGTAAAACGATCAACATTAAACTCGGCGTCAAGCTTAACGCTATTACCGAATAGAGGTTGACTCATAAATATCCTTTACAAACACAAAATTTGTAAAAAAACTTGTGAAACATTATAAGACATAATATGTTTCACATTTTTTTATGCAATAAGAAAGCTCAAATTATTCGCTGACTCTCCATTCTACATAAGTCATCTTTTTTTAACGCATTATTTGACTATCTTCCTCTAATATCGCTTAACTTTATTTAATCACAACTTTATTCGCAGTTAGATACGCTCTACAAAGCACAGACGCCAGACGAGCGACTCTTCGTTACGAAATTGTTACTTTCACTGTCCTCTTTCGAGCGATTCTAGAATTAGTCCCCAAGGACGGAAAGTTTATTTACGGCCAGCTACCAAGGCTTTTGCGATAAAAAGTTTCGGGTAATTTATTTGTCCATTGAATTAATTGTTGCCCTGTTAATATTTTACTTCTATAACGCAACTAACAATACCTATAGATTGTTATATGTCGATCAATATATGCAGGGAGACGGATGTTGTTTTCTGTTGGTATAATGAGCATCAAATAATGTTATTCCTTTATTTGTGTCATTTAAAAGTGGTTCTTTTAATAAAAAACATTTAAAAAAATATAGAACCGACTTCATATTTTAAAAAGTGAAAAATAATACTCATCATTAAAAAAATTAACCACTTTAATATAAATATTATTTTTCAATTTTTTTTTTTATTGAAGTTGGTTCAACTTTTAAAAAAATGCTTTTATTTCAGTATATTTAAGTGATACATATAGGTACTTTATATAAATATTTTGAAATGACGCAGCTAATGAGCTGGCACACAGAAGATCAGACGCAACACCAATGGGCCCTGAGCCGATCATTCCTATATCGGTAAGCTGGCTAATTGATAAGATACGTGAACACTCGAGAAAACTACATCAACAGTACTGACATACTTTGGAGTCCTGAACGCAGGCCTAACTCACACTTCCCCAAGTGAACGCTTGCTTCTCCAAAGCCCTTGTGCAGCGAAGTAAACCATTTTTGCGCCTGGTAACAGGTGCTATTACTGGTCATGGCAACTTTAACAGGCACCTTTTTAATTAAGGTATCACTGACAGCCCCTCGTGCAGAGGTTTTGTGGATACTTACTATTGCGTAAACTTTTCTTAGAAATTACCCTTATAACTTTTGGAAACATTATTATAAACGAATATCAAACTTTAACATTCAAAACTGACGCTCGCGCTGTCTGGCATATTGCATAATTAAACTCGGAAGAAACGAGAGCTTATTTTATATTTGTATTTTAAAATCGGCTCTTTTAGTTTAAAATTACGTCATCTGAGGTAATGAAGCAATTAACATGATCATTCTTAATTTACTTTTTCAGAGTGATCGTTTGCAACATATGCAGATATGGAAATTAAATAATCATGTAAGTAAGTTCAACTTACTTCTAATCATCAAGTAAAGACATTGAATTATAATTCATATTAGATCCATTGGATTGTCATTTATTTAAATAGGTTCATTCATTACTTTTACACGCTTATTTATTCCAACATTCATGAATTTCAATAACTTTCAATCTTAATGGCAATTATCCTTCATATAAGACATGAAGAAAGTGAAGGTACCTGCGTAGTTGCGTGTGCCACAAGGCAACTTATACACAACATATTAATAATAAGTTACCAGATTTTTCGTAAACAATGTCAAAGTTGAAATTCAGATTCTTTATTCAAATTGTCATCATAACAAATAAATAAATATTAACAGCAAAGAAGAATTAACTAGTCGGTCCCGCCTACTATTTCCTACCTATTTAATATTCTACCTAAAGATTTATTAAATATTTTATTCAAACATTTTACCACAAATAACGAGTATATTTTTTTTCTGTATACAAAAAAAAATATATTTTGTGAGTTTAATTATATTCATTTCATTTCATTTGAGTTCATTGTGAAGGACTTTTTAAATGAAATATCAATTGATTTAAACTAAAGACGAAAATAATATAGAGTTAAAAAGGTGTTCTCAACAGGTATGCTCCGTTGATGCAGTTACGTGAGAATAATGCGAGTTGAAAAAATTATAAATCGGATATACAACGCGAAAGTGGAATAACTTAAAATCCCAGGGAGACCAAGACAGCTACTACTAACTAAATATACTTATTCATTGGCTAATCGATTAGAAAGTTGGGTTCGAGCTTTGTCACGGTGCAATTTACCAAAAGAAAGTGAAGCAGTGATGCATAATTGTGCGTCTGCATCGATACAACCTTAATCGTCCATAAAATCCAACTCAATTCAATAATTAATATCTAAAAAAAAAGTAATAACCTCATTTAAGTATTCTATGTCATCATAAAAGT